GAAACCTGATGGGACAAGAAACTGTCGGCAGGGAACTGGGGGGGCAACTGGCGGAAAGGGAATTGGGTAAAAGGAACTGAAGAGATGTGGTTTGGGGACAGGGACCTGCGGAGAGGGAATTGGGAGCCAGGGAGCTGGAGACAGGAACTGGGGGCAAGAAACTGTCGGCAGGGAACTGGAGGGGGGGGACTGGGCGAAAGGGACTGGGGACAGCAAGCTGGGGACAGGGAATTTGGGACAGGGAACTGGGGACAGGGAACTGGGGGACAGGGAACTTGGGACAGGGAACTGGGGACAGGGAACTTGGCAACTGGGGACAGGGAACTGGGGACAGGGAACTTGGGACAGGGAACTCGGGACAGGGAAGTGGGGGCAGGGAATGGGGGGAGGGACAGGGAACTTGGGACAGGGAACTGGGGACAGGGAACTTGGGACAGGGAACTGGGACAGGGAACTGGGGACAGGGAACTTGGGACAGGGAAGAACTTGGGACAGGGAACTGGGGACAGGAACTTGGGACAAGAAACTGGGGACAGGGAACTGGGGGCAGGGAACTGGCGGGGGACAGGGAACTTGGGACAGGGAACTGGGACAGGGGACTTGGGACAGGGAACTGGGGGGAACTGGGGGCAGCAAACTGGGGACAGGGAACTTCGGACAGGGGGAGGGAACTGGGACAGGGTGGGGGGCAGGGAATTGGGGGCAGCAAACTGGGGACAGGGAACTGGAGGCAGCAAACTGGGGACAGGGAACTTGGGAGAGGGGGACAAGGACCTGGGGAGGGAACTGGGGACAGGGAGCTGGGGGACAAGACTTGGGGGCAGGGAGCTGGGGACGGGGAAAGCTGTCGGTTTCAACCCGACAACCTTATCTTTCAGTCCGACCGCGTTGACAATTGGCACTTGAGGAAGACACAAGAAAACATTGATCGATTTGTTAGCTACCTCGTCTCCAGGTCTATTGCAGTAATGTCAAGTGCTAATGCATCGGTGAACCACCAAATTAGCCCTTGCGAGCATGGATCTAAGTGTGTGTCACACCCTTTCTTTAAGGGTACCACACACTAACTAAGAATTGTTGAAACATTAATTCAACTCACTGGGCAGTTTCAACAGCAGGGGGTGCCAGTGATGCACACTGGACTGGCACCTACGAAGACGCCAGTGTTGCATCTGTGAAATCGATTTTGGGATGTTCTTTCAGGAGGATGCCCCTTGCATGAGGATCACACAATTATTTCCCTTCACCAATAGCAATGGTGAGCGAAAATTCCCCCTGAAGCAGGCTGATCATAGTGCTGGTCATATTTGCTTATCCAAGCTGGATCAGGTGAAAAAAAACATAGCATTTTTCCAAACAATTTGTTTGATGGCCTGGATTCACGCAACTGCACGAAAGAAAAAACACCGCAACTTGATGGTCACTCCAAGCATTCTTAGGTCAAAGTGGACCGGTGGAAAGTGGCGATCCCACCGATTCCACGAGGAATTGACCCTAGTAGCGTCCTTGCTACATTCGTAGTCTTTTGCTAAGTTCGTAGTAATGGCCTCCACCCTAATAGCGATGGCCTCCACCGTAGCCAGCGTCATTGCTACTGTGGTTTCTGAAATCCCAACCTTTACACTCAAATCCGATGCAGAAATACATGTGTCCGAAACGTGAATTGTTTGGTTTCTTTAAAGATCCAGAACGGTCGTGCGCGGATTCACCCAAATCTGATGCTGTGGGATTTCCTTCCGGCCCAGGCTGGGGAGGAAGTCGGTCGCTTCCAACTGCCCCTGGATGCCACCTGTGGAGATCTCAAGGAACGAATCGAAGTGACTTGGCCCCGAAAACGTCACCACGGCGCTCGCTTCATCAGGGACCAGGGGTTCACTGCGGTTCACTCGATGTGTTCGCTATTGACTTGGGTCCAGCGCGATGGGTCCAGCAGCACGAGCTCCGGAATTTTGGTCCTGCGCCCCCCCGAAATTCCGCGGGCTCCGTTTTGGCACGAATTGGTCCTCCATTCGAGCATGTCTATAGGAATATACACTCCATGGAATTATCATGGAAGTGGATGGTTCCAGGGAGTCTATAACATTCATGGCTTGATAGTGTTCATGAATCAAAGAACTGCATGCTGCCAAGAAGGTCAAGACGCGCAGAGGTTGTTAATCCAGAGCGTTCTCCACGATATAGCGAATCTAGCAGGGCAAAATCGATTAGACTTGAACGGCACGCGGCAGTGCCATTGCTGCGCGAACAGGCTTGGAGTTTTCTTGCCAGCACCACCTTCAAGACTGAGGTAATGTTCAGGAGGCAGTCTCCCGTGCTGAGGTAAGTACCCTCAAAACCGAGGTAGTTGGAGAGAGCTGTAGGGGATGACAGACCTCAATCAACGAGTGGAGGAAACAAATTTGCAAAAACTTAGATCCTGGGTTTTCCACTGTTTCGGAATGTTAATGTTCTCCACCTGCAAAGCCGCTCTTCGCAAGGAAGAGCTTGGCCCCGCACCTGTGATGCAGCAACTGCTCCTCGCCGAGAGGATCCTGCAGAACGAGGAAGTGTTGCGCCTGGGCGATGGTTTGGGCGAGCGGAAAGAGGTTTCGGCAGAAGTCTCATCCTGTAGAAGCAGGCACCAAGGCAACTGCCGTGGAGGGCACCACCCAAATTGCAAAGACGAGTTATTGCGACGGAAGGACCATCTGTTTTCATCACCCGAAGTGGGTGGTTCTGGTTAGAAGATGTTGGAAGATGTTCATACTGATTCATACTATATATATATGCCCAGATGCTCCAACCAGTCCTTGGTCCCTCCAAACCTAAAGATTTCTTTGGGCCCGGACCCCTCCCAGAGGATTCGGGTCCGTCCCTCGAGGGTTCAGGTGCGTCTGGGTGGCATATATGTTCACATGTTCTCGCACACTCAAGTGCGTCATCTTGTCACGGGGAGCCTGCACAGCTTTCTTGGAGAGAAAAGAGCTCACACCAGGGCCCGCGGTTTGAGGTGATTCATGACTGCCAAAACCTCTAAGGTGCAATGATTAGACACCCTAGCCACCCTACTCGGCCCTACCTACCCTTCCCAAGTGTTATCCGACACATGGTCTTGCTTGCAGAGACACATGGTCTTGCAGGGTCCGAGCTTCCTGTTATGATGATTTTTTCAGCGAGTTTGCGAAGCCTTAGGGTTAGGTGGCTTTGTCCCCCGCACCAGCGGAGTTCGGGTGGTTCACACCCAGTCGATAGTTCCTGATTGGTCTCAACACCCGAACTCACTCCATGGTGGTGGCAGACGCTTTTGGGATGGACGAAATTGGATATGTTTGGTGTACCAACAGGCCAGAACCGGTTTTCCGGGTCCTATAGTCCCGGTCACTGGCTACCTCTCTTGGTAGTGTTCATGGCTTGTCACATTTTGAACGAGTGCCCCATCAAGCCGGTCGACCGAAGGCTGGGAAGCGAGTTTTCGATGGCCGCTCGCCGCGCAAGGCTTCCGGTGGGCACGGCCAGCCCCTCTTCACCGGTGGATGTGACCCTTTTGTTGACACTTGAGCCTTCAAAGACGGGGGGTTTTCATGTTGATTTTGGTCGGAAGGGATCGTGTTTGTGAATGCTGTGGAAACCTTCTCAAGAAGGGGAAAGATGTGTTTTGTCCTTGGGAGAAGACTCTGCAGGCTTTTAATAGAACAAGATGGAGCCCACGAACCCGAATGCAAACACAATTGAAAAGCTACATATGTCCAAAAGACACTCTTGTAGGACACTCTTTTGGGACACTCTGTGCGGCACTCCCATAAGACACTCTTACGGGACACTCTTGTGGGACACTCTTGTAGGCCACTCTTGTGGGTCACTCTTGTAGGAAACTCTTGCGGGGCACTCTTGTGGGACACTCATATAGGACACTCTTGTAGGGCACTCTTATAGGACACTCTTGCCATGCCAGCTCGAACTGATGCTACCTACGAAATGAGTGACCTGGCAACCAAGAGAATCAATGACTTGATTGCAGAGATAGGCATTTCCGGAGTGACTGTTGCAGATAATGGCATGGCGATTGAGTACTCGATAGTCACAAGTGCTTTCGCAGCAGGACGAGCTCCAACAGCGTCAGTGCTCTTCTTTGTGCTCAATGGAAAGACGGCCGACCAAATTGCAAACACAAGAAGCAAGATCCAAGGTCAACTCTCGACGGGGATTCGCATTAACTCAGCAATGTGGTCTTCTGCGAAATCCTATCTAAAAGCATGTGAGAAACTGCCTCAAAAGGAAGTAGTTGATCTCAAGACACTGACAAGCTTTGAATCTCAATCCGCACAAGAAGTAAGAACAGGAGAAAGACGCAAGAGAGCCAGGACTAGCGGAAACTGAGCCACTTGGAATGTTTCACCCCTGTCTAGATTGATCATAAGTCTTGGTTTTGAAGGCTGATTGGATAGCTAGGCAACTGGTTTCTCCATGTACAGATCCACATCACCTAGAGGCCTATTTTCTGCTCAGGTGCACGAATGTTTAAGGTTTTGATAAATCATCTCACTCAAGCCTTACGCAAGAAAATGGAAGCTTTCCAACTACGTGGGTTGAGGCAAATTCCACTATGTGTTATTATGCTTGCACATATGTTTGCCTTTTTAAACATGCTGCGAAACACAAAATGCAGACATCCGCCCCGGGCGGTGGTGGAGGCGATCCACCCTAAAAACGCGCAATAGGCCCTGGAGGTCAGCCCCTTCCGTGGGTTTCTTTCCTTCTCTCCGGCCCTGGCACATCTCCCGAACCCGCTCATCGACCTCACCGCGGCCACCCCGCCCACCAACGAGCCGATCCTGCCCCACGAGACCCCGCCTACCCCAGCTCCAGCAACACCCAGCGGGCCGGGCAAGCTGCCACAGAGTGAGCCAGCGCCAAGCACGCAGGACCCAGCGCCGCCGACGAAGCCTGTCCCATTTGCCGCCCGGCCATCCATCCCCACGCCCCTGGCGAAACCTCGCGGCTCGTATATTGGTCGTCTCCGCTTGGTGTCGTTCTTACGCGCTCTCTTCATTAGTCGTCGCTCTAGCGCTTCCTGATACTCAGGGTGCGCTACAGTGAAAGTGCGTTTTCTGTGAAAGCGCACAACAGTAGGGAGAGGCCGGTGGGAGAAGGCACGGGAGAGTGAGCTTATAACTGAAGATGGGTTTGCACACTCCGCAAGCAAATGAGCAAGTTTAGGTTGTAAGGGATCACACCTCATGAGAGGCGTCTCAGTCAAGTCAAAGCTGAAGGTTCGGCAGAGGTGAGAATGAAGCGCTGCAAGCATTTCCTCCCCTGGCCGGGGGGCAACCCAGAAGCCATCATGCAACCAGATGGCTGATGTGAATCCTACTCGCGGTTGTAGAAAGGAGTAGGCAGCCCATGTAACATGCTGTTCAAGGACCTTGAAGAAGTGAAAAGGAGCCCCTCGTCCCCCTCGATACGCGCGCTCCACACGGGGTGCGCTGCCCACCTGATCGTGCAACATCCCAGGCCCCCCTGCCCCACAATGGGACGGCGCTCTCGGGCCTTCTCGCCCACCAACCCCTGGCCAGCCCACGCCCAGTCACACGCCACAGAGAAGCCACAGGCACTGGACCATATCTTGCCCCTTTCCTGCCACAGAGTTCTCCTGGTCGACCCAGACCATGAAAGCGCGTGGCGTGACCTGCCTGAAAGACATATGCAATGGGCCCCAACCTTGTCCCGCACCTCGGGCCTATGGCAACCGGAAAGGCTCAATTTTTTTGGCGCTCTTTCATTGACTGGGGCCATGACGATCTAATGAACCCAGATGGCAAACTTGCGCAATCGGGCCACAATGTGAGCAATCAAACCAACTATGCCTTTAAATAAGGAGGTTTTTCCCACGCGGATCTATTTTCCGTTTTCCCATGTCCAACTTCCACGCCGCCAGGGCTCGAAGACCGTGACACACATGGCCGCCGCGACCACGACCATGAAGACCCAGACAGCAGCAGCGCCATCTCCGAATCCGATGATCAAGGACCAGCGGAAGAGGTGGCCGCTGCAGATGACCCAGAAAAGGGGGGCCGGCCAGAGGTCAAGGCCAAGGCTGAAAGCTTGCCAGCCAAGGATGAGAGCCTAAGCCCAAGCCCGAAAGAAAAGAAAGAACACAATAAGACCCGAGAAAAGCAAAAGAAGACGCACAAGGAGAAGAAAGAGAGTGGCCGCAGCCGCAGCGTGGCGAAGCACACCAGCAACTGGACACCTCTGACAAACCTACGTTTGGGTCACTCTTGCAGGAAACTAGTGTGGGACACTCTTACGGGACTAGGACACTCTTCTAGGACACTGCTGTGGGTCACTCTTACGGGACACTCTTGTAGGACACTCTTATGGGACACTCTTGTCGGACACTCTTGTGGGACGCTCTCGTGAGACACTCTTGTAGGACACTCTTGTGGGTCACTCTTATATACGGGACGCTCTTGCACGAAAGGACACTCTTGTAGGCCACTTGTGGGACACTCTTCCTGGACATACCTTCCAGAAGGTTCACCCTTCGATTTGACCATTTCAGTGAGTTCACTCCGCAAGCTGGTGTCTTCCAAAACATGTTATTTCAACTGTTTTGGGCTCAGCTGCAACGGGGTTGCATTAGCTCCAGGTATGGCAACCATAATGCCCACACACCTCCAGAATGCCCTGCGACATAGCCACACATCATACCCAGTATGGTAAACTGCCCTGCAAAACTCAATTCCAAAACCATCTCCAAACACCTCACAGCACCGCGCAGCAGCTTTTTCGCACAACCACATCGACCAAGGTCATCTGCAGCGCACCATTGCCTCAGGTTTACAGCAAGCAGAGTTAATACCAAAACAGGTAAAACAACACATGTTACTTACATTGGTTTGTGAACATGGTTCATGTGAAACTGCACATGACATGGTTTACGTTTGCATGCATGGTTTCCATGGTGTACATGCGTGGTTTACATGCACGGTTTACATGGTTTGCGTGCAAGCACATGTTTCCATGTATGTCATGCATGGACATGAACTGTGTAGCGTGCATGTTTACATGCATGGGCACATGTTGCATGACATGTTGCATGGATCTAGGGGCCCAGCCAGTCTGGAGACCTCATCTTTCAAGATCTGGGCCAGTCCTGAGGACAGGAAACAAGCACACTGGCGAGCCCATGGAAATCATGACAGCAGTCCTGTCAAATATCTTTGCAATGTAGTAATCTCCGTCTTCTTCTGGTGGGTCTTGCTGGCCAAAAACATGATTTGCTTCACCCATGTTTCATCCATATAAGTGCTCCACAAGCAAGGGTTCCGCAACCTGTGGGCTGATTCATACCAATGGATGATGCCGTGAAACTTTGGCCTTGCGTTAAACATTTTGTAGCTGCAGAACCCATCGAACTTATGATAGAGCTGAAGGTACTGCACCGCAAACATGTTGCCTACAACTTGTGTTTGCTCAGCTTCTGCCTGATTGAGTAGGGGTCCGCCTCTCCTGCTTTCATGGAGCAAACCAATCAAATGGTCTGCAGCCCATAAGCAGCTCTTGACTGTTGCGTCCACATTCCTACACATGTCATCGCTCATGTAGTGGTTGAGAAACTTCAAAATCACCAGGGTATGCCAGCCCTTGCCATGCAGGTGGCAAAACTTGCCCACTTTCAGGTCCAGTTTTGTCCGTGTTAGGTGCCAGTGATTGGGGAGTTTCCACTCTGTGGATTTAGAAAAAGCCACGATCATCTTGGATGCATGTCGCATTCTCGCAGCCACCTTGGAAAGCGTGATCTCAATCCTAACTGTCGAGAGTGAAATGACTAGGGCAGCAGCCGTTGCACCATTGAAGGCCCGAACCCGAAAGAGGTAAAGTAGCACGCTGCTGACCAGATCTCTTCCCGTCCCTAAGAAAAACAAGTGCAGGATGTCAAATCCTACCAAGGCCAGGCCAAATCCTGTCAACTTTGCCAGTTCAGGTTCATGATCCCAAGGGACTGTTGGGACATGACATCTCCATTCCGCTGAGCTTGACACATCCGTGTAGGGAATACTCAGATCCTTTGTGCACATACAGTGCATGCAACATTGGTTGTTTTGAGGAGTGCGCTTCAGGTTGAGCACCTGAACAAGATATTTCCAGTCTCCTTTGAGGCTGACAAAACGCATGCCAACTCCTTTGATTGGCTGGTTTTGCCACAGCTCAAGGCTCTTCACCACATGCTTCATGAGGCCCTGGATGCTGATATTGACTTTGCCCCAGAAGGCATACATGTGAACTGGCAAGACAGCTATGAGCCATCTGCTCAGTTTGGGGTCTGTGTGGTAGGGGCTGTTCTCTGAGCTCCACTGAAAGAGCATCATGGAATTGCCCTTGAAGATCTCTCCTTCGTCACCAAAGAGCTGCAAGCCAATGGAGGATGTGCAATCAGCTGGTGGATCAATCCCAAACTGTTCAGACATCACACCCCAGTAAGCTGCATCGGCTGCGCCAAGCAAACCGCTGAGATCCGACTCCAGCAAAATTTCCGCCTCAATGCA